CTGAAGAGCATCTTGCTTATTCTTCCCAAAGTGAACCAAATCAAGTTGTTGAGTGGTTGTTTGCTGCCTCGCACTAAGGGAATCAACTGCAATGTCGAGGGGTATGTCATCATGATCAGACGGATTGGGGAGCCTGCTCAGGGCATCAGCAATTATCATGGTGCTGCCTGGTTTGTACTCCAAACTGAATTGATAGCCTTGAATCTTGATCAACAGCCTCTGTAGACGGGGTGGAGCACTGGTGAGGGGCTTGTTCCATATGGTCACTAGTGGTTTGTGGTCTGAGAGTACATGGAATCTGGAACCGAAAAGGTAAGTGTGGAACTTGGTCACACCAAACACCAGGGCAAGAGTTTCCCGTTCAATGTTGGAGTAGTTTGACTGGGATGATGACGACCAAGGCCTTTTTGTGAAGCGTCAACCTCGAGGGTGGTTTCCATCTTGGGATCATAATACCGCAGACATGACTCGGCAGTGATGGAGTGCTGGAGTGCACGAAACGATGCCTGATGATCGTCCTGCCAGAGGAATGGAACATCCTTCCGGAGGAGGTCCCGCAAGGGGGCAGCCGTGTCTGCGCAGTTTGGAATGTGTGGAGACACAAAGTTGACGATACCGAGGAATCTCTGAAGATCCTCTTTGTCTTGGGGAGTCGGCATGGCATGTATGTCTGCAACTCTGTCAGGATCAGGGCGAACTCCACTGTCCGAGTAGATGGAACCGAAGAATTTTATCTGGTTCGACTTGATACGACACTTGGCACTGTTGAAGATAAGCCCTTCTCGCTTGGCAGTCTCCATGAGGTTGAAGAGGTTGGCATCATGCTCACTCTCTGTACGCCCAAATACTGCAATGTCATCTGCAATACATACGCAGCCTGGTACCTGGCTGACAATGTCGTCCATACATTGTTGAAAAATGTCCTGGCTCACTGACAAACCAAACGGGAGTCGGCAAAAACAATATCGGCCAAATGGTGTCCGAAACGTTGTCAATTCCTCGGATGCATCATCTAAGTGGATCGACCAGTAACCCGCCTTCGCATCAAGTTTGGACAAGAACTTCGCTTGCGAAAACGCAGGATTTAACTCCTCAAGCGTTGGAACCTTGTGAGGACATCGCTTCAAGTTGTTGTTAAGTCGTTTTGGATCTAGGCAAAGTCGGAGTGAACCGTCTTTCTTGACACTTGTCGTGAGGGAGCTACACCAATCAGTGTGGTGAGTGACTCTGCGGATGACACCATCGTGCTCCATCTTGTCTATTTCCACCTGGAGTTTTGGCTTGAGATGCACGCTGCATTTCCGAGGTGGATCGATACTGGGTTGAGCATCTTTCTTGAGATGAAGATGGGCACGTGTCTTGAAGTTGCCTAGGCTGTCAAATTGCGTAGGGTACGCCTGCTTTAGATCTTGTACTCCTTTTACAGGGGTGACAAATCCGACAGGTGGTATGGCTGGTGGGGCTGGTCGAGGTCGTGATGTTGGGAGTCCGCTGGGTGAAGAAGATACGGTGTGTATCGTCACCAGCTGGAGCTTCTGGCTCATGGGTAGGCCAGCCACAGCAGGACCTGGTACATCTACGACGTAGAATTTTTCGCGAGACCACTCACTCTCCTTGTATCTGCACATAAGATGCAGATAGCCATAGCATGTGATGTTTGACCCGTTATATGCGGTCAGTCTTGTGCCAGTGGGGGAGGCGAGCGATTTCCAACGGTCTCCGTATATCTGCTTCATGGTGCGAACTGGTAGGGTGTTAGCGCTCGCACCGGTGTCCACTTTGACCTTCAAGTGGTGCTTGCCAAGTCGATCTGGGCAGACAACATCAAGTGTTGTGAAGACTTCGGTATGTCCGTACTGATGTAGCGGAGTGACGCACATATCAGACACGGTGATAGAGTTGAATGTGTCCCCAGCTTGGCTTGAGACGTCATCGTCGTCGGTGAAGAAGTCATGTTGCCCCTGTTGGTCATTCTTGAGGTCGTTCACCTTGGAAGTACCCCGGCTCGGCGATCTATTGCGAGAGCTGCGCGGTTTTGAGTTGCTACGCGATTTTGAGTTGCTACGCGGTTGTTGGCGGCGCCAGTTTGGCGATTTGCTGCGCTGTTGGCCTTGCCCAGTTCGCTTCGATTTTCTGCAAAGCTTGGCCCAGTGACCTTTGCTACCGCAGGCTTTGCACGTGTCATGGTACGCAGGACAGCTGCGGGGTTTGTGCGAAAGACCACAATTTTTGCAAGAGCGGCGTCCGCGTGCAGAATAGACAGTGTCTACAGATGCTGGTTCGTTCGCGGCTTTGCATGCTGCAGTATCTGTAAGCGTTTCTAAATGTTGCTTGCCCGCTGCAACGGCTTCGTGCCTGCGTCCCTCTTCAAGCATCGCTGCAATTGGGTAGCCACGTGCTTTCTCGAGAAGGCTATTGCGTAACGCGTCTAGGGGAGTCGAGGCTATGACCAGTTCTACTACGCGTTCGTCTAGTTCTGCTTGCGCAAAATCACAATTCATCGCTTTTTCTCTACACCTGTTAACAAAATCGTCTAAGGTTTCATCGACTTTTTGTTTGTATCTCATTAACTCAAGCCTATGGATGCGGAAATTTACACTGATTTGCAACTGCTTCTCAAATAAAGCCCATAGCTTTTCTGGTTCTTCTTGATCTGCTTCGGACAAGCCAGATGCATTGAGGCGCTTAAGGCCCTCAGTGCCTACAGCTATTTTGATTTTCACCGCCTGTTTGTCGGCTTGATTTACTTCATGATCCTTCAGGCATAACGTAAATCTCTGTTTGAAAAGCTTGAACTCCTCGGCAACATTCTTAACTGACCAATTCATTTCTGGATATTTAGCCATGGTTGAGTGCACAATGACAATGTAATATAATAATATGATAAACAACAATTGTGCGAAACCTTCTGTGCTAAAACTTGGGCTAAACACCACTGAGATGGCTAAACATGTAAGAACAATATTACATGGGAGCAACAATACACTGATTTGAATTGTCAATAACCAAACTCATACATGTAAACAATAGCAATGAACACTGGTCAATTAGGCTTTAAAAGTCTCAGTTCTGATGAGATGAAGTGGCTGAACAGTTCTTGTACGTCTTGCCTGGTACAGTGTCCGTGATAGTCAGGGTAGTAGTCAGGTAGTAGGGCAGATGAAGTTGCCTGGCAAGATGCTGGAGGTCCCAGATTGGAGATGCACTGGTACTGTGAACAGGTCGGGCAGGTACAGTTACTGGAAAACGACGAGCTGAATTTCTCACGAATTGGATGCAGCGCAACTGGATGGGCGCTGATCGTGATCGTGTCGGTCGGCAAACTGGACGCACGGCAGAATTTGCAAAATTAGCCGATGATGAGGTCCAGGTTTCTGCTGCTTTTCATCCCGTCTTGTCCCTTGAAACAGTCGGGACCGTCGCCGCTGGATGCTGTAAAGCCGGTCGGTAGATGACCAGTCTCCGGTAGAGCTCGATGGAGCCGTGGGGAATACAGCGATTATGGCGAACTCCTGAGTGCAGTGATGGGGCGAGCACGGTATAGGCGCTCACACTGTACGGTGAAACGTGTTGAATGTGCAGTGGGTATAGCACACGCACGTGAAACGTCGCGGCATGACCTCAGACAAATCTGGGGCGGTTGCACATTTTCACACCACAATAAGCGGGAATTGGGAGGTCCAGATGCCCGAAAGTTGCCTCACTCGATGGTCAGATCATCACAGATGTCTATCTGGTTCTTTTTCACCGCTGCCACCATGTTGAGATGGAGGTGAAATAAAGGAGGCTCGTAAGACGGCGAGTGTGTGGACAGCACGGCCAGCATGGAAGGTTTATTCTAGAACTTATCTGGGGTCAACTCCCCGGCGCGCATGCGCATACATGGATACATGAATATGCATATCACTACAGACCCCGCCTCTTGACCTCCTAGATTTTGACCAATCAGTGGGTGCTTTCTACATTGGGTCTTTAGTCATTCACTCGTTGCGCGTCATAGACAATGGATTAAAAAAACATGTGTCACGCGCTCTGCATCATGTTATGCGATATCGCGCCTGGCTGTTGTTGTATTACAAAGCACTGCATTCGATTTGACCAACCGAACCATTAATTCCTGATTCAGAAATGAAATAACGTCACAATTTAGTAAAATTGACTCCGATTGGTTGGCGCGTGGCTTGCATATATCTGCATGTCTAGATATATCAGACTTGATACAGGAGATTGCTTCCGTGGATAACAGTTGGTACTCAGACTACTTATCCATAGTTGACACCACCTCTGAACAACATCCCATCTACCAAGTACCAAGATTAATGAGGAACTTGATTATGGACTTCACTGGCTACTCTGAATGTAATTACTTCCTGGATGAGTCAGACTTACACAGCTTACTAGACTGGAAACTGATGACTGACAGGACTTCTGGCAGGAGTTGTGAAGGACGTAGATAGGACTGAGACAGGACTGGAATAATTAACATTGTTCAGTCAAGGAAGGTGGAGAAAGGTCCAGTTCTCCATCCAAATTAATGCCTTTGGATCCTCCATTGGATTAGTGTTTGTTTCCGACAAGAAACTAAATGACACAAGGGGCGTAGCAAGGTCATTTTTATTGGGGGGGGTGAAAATTTCTTGAAAAGGGCACTCGCACATCTATGCTGAAATGTAGAAACCCTTTTTTTTCTCCGGACACTTGGCCTCTGTAAAATCAAACAGGGGGAGGGTTGGTACCATTTTAAAATGGGGGCACTGTTAGAAACAGACGATAATGCACACTAACAAATATATATGGCGCTTTTCACGGCAACACATACACAGAATTTTTAAAAAAGGCACTCATAACGGCCGCAGCTACAAAAAGGGTTGGTTTTTTTAAGGGTGTTTGTTCAGAAAAAACAAATGGGGGGGGGGGGGGTTAAAACACTTGTGAAAAAGGGCACTTAAATGGAATTATTATGCATTTTTGTTCCATTGCTTTTTTGTTTTGTTTCATAGTTCCTGGATTACATCGAGTTGCCCAAAAGATTGGCGTAGACTGTGCACCTGCTATGGTTGGATGGGATTACCATGGAGGCTTTTGTCATCCAGTGTAAGTAATGCCTTTCTCCATATTAACATACAAATGTGTTAATAGTAATAGCACTACAGCGAAACAGCATAAGAATTCTCCACTTCACAGAACCAACCAAGGAAGAAATGCTTTTGAATCAAACTTACATTCTTTTGATAAATTGTGTTGGGCATTCTCCGGGCCTTACCTAATTTTGTTAGGATCAAGCCTTGCAGGTACCTGTTGGAAAGAAGACAGTCTTTCCAAAACCACTGCTCTTTCCTAGATGAGAGACTTCTCGTAGTGGTCTCTAAGGGTGCGTTTCTGTTTTGATTGTGACTCAATATAAGCTATAACAAAGACTCCTTGACGACAACTGTCAGGAAAACAATTTATTTTAAAGGCGGATCCAAAGAGGTAAGTGCTGGAGGGGGGCTCTCACGAGTGGAAAAGGGCCTTATTTGAGGCTATTTCTGTCACTGCCCCCTCTGCTGCTGTATTCAATGATAATCAATGTAGTGAGATTGTAATTTGGGTGTTTTTTTTCAACCTACTGCCCACAGAGGCACTGCACAGCAGCATCAGCAGTTTGCAACAACACCAGCAATGCACATCAGCAATGCACATCAGCAGTGTACACTGTACAGCTCATATAGCTTTCTACTCGCTAGATAACAACCATGCAAGCCAGTATCGTCAAAGCACAGCTAACACAGCAATGTATTTGCAACGCATCAGCTCATACAACTTTTCACTCACTTTGCAAAGGCATTGCACATATGCAGAGCACAAGTAACCCACTTTTTGTCTGCAACTCGGGACCCCACATTAACAGTACTCTCTGCATCACATATCTGCATGAACGCACACAAACATACTTCACATGGCTAGGCGTCAACCAAAGGCTAAGCTATGCATGCAGCAGTTCCATTAGATTGCTGAGCTTTGCCCAGCCTGCGCACGCACCCAGTAGTCATGCACATAATCCAGGGGCGTCAATCGCTTCTCAAAAGTGTGTGTGTGTTGGGGGGGGGGGGACATACCTTGATGAGAACTGATGCGAGCGCGAAGCCCTTACGGCGTGAGGTTCGGGGCCCGCTTAAGGGCCCCGAAAAAATTGGATTCTAGATGCTCTGTGGTGTTATCTAAAGCAATTTCTTACCATGCTTTAACTAATATTTTCTTAGCAAAAGATAATTATTTGAACATCGTTTTTCGAGGTTGGAGTCATTGAATCGGCTACCAGAATTCCAAGCTTTTGGCGTGGGGTTTGGGGCCCGCTTAAGGGCCCCGAAAAATTTTGGATTCTAAATGCTCTGTGGTGCTATCTGAGGCAATTTCCGACCACTTTAACCAATATTTTCTAAGCAAAAGATACATTGTAGTACATAATAGGGCCCTGTAAATGAGACACGAGTTCAAAAGTCTGGGGGGGGGGGACAATAATATAATATTGGATTCTAGACGCTCTGTGGTGCGATCTGAGGCAATTTCTGACTACTGGCAAGGTTTAAGCAAAAGATCACCTTTTAAACATCATTTTCGAGTTGTAATTGAATCAGCTATTCTGAGCTATAGAATTAAATGTAGGCTACATTTTTTTTATTCAGGGACGAACATACTCGGGAGGACGATGCCCATGGTTGGCACAGCGGTCGTGGTGACTTGCAGGTCACAGGTCACAAAATATCTATCCAATCAGAGCGTTAATTCGTCTGCCCTTCCCAGCGTCCTGTTTGCAGGGCGGGGGTATGAGCGAAATGATGTTGGTGTTCCTGTTCTTGACTTGTTCAAGAAATTTCAACATTTTCTTAGTGGAAAAATGCTCCATGCATGGAGCATTTTTGGCCATGAGATGCAACCACCTAACATCTACTCATGGCCATGAGTAGATGTTAGGTGGTTGCATCTCATGGCCATGAATAGATATCTCTGAGGTGTTGAAACGGGTGACTTCAGAGGAATGGGAGATATTGGACATTTGTTTCTGTAAGGACTGAAGGGCAGGGCAGTGAAGTGAAGGGCATTCAAAGCAAATTAATTTACTATAGACTGTTGATTAGTAATCCCAAATCTTCGTCAAAATTTGAAGGGAACGTTGTAAAACACGCGACAAATAGAATATTTAACTTTGTCAAAACTGGTTTTATACTTTTTTAAATTTTTAAACCTTTTCTTGTTCTAGATTTGATGGATTTGTTGTCTGCAAGGAATTCACTGACATTCTCCTTGATAACTGGGAAAAGGACAATGCAGAGAGAGAGCACAAATTGAATCAGGTATTTTTAAATGACATTAATCATATGATTCTCCTTCAACAAAATTAGAAATAAAAGTTTGGTTACCATAACATATGGCATTGATCTATCATAAGGCCAAATAAAAAAAAGTGTTTTGCGTCCTGCCTTTTTGAAAAAAACAATTCCTCCAAAATGGTTGCCTGACCAGGCTTTTTTTCAAGATGGCAGCATGTTTTTTTTTTTTAAATGGCCTTGGACTCGGGAAGTGACATACCAACTTTATATGGGCTAGGTGCAACAGATAAAATAGGCCAAAATGATGTCACTGAATCAAATGTATCATTTTTTTCGAATTAAAAAAAAAGAAAAAAAAAGGAGGCGGCCTCCAAAAAGGAAGCGGGTGGGGATGCTAAACATGTTTTGATTTTCTATTTTGCCTTACTGGGCATTTAATTTTTCTTACAGGTCGATCTCTCTGACACTAGCCATTTTGGCCCAAATTGGGTGACCAGCATTTGGGCCAAAATATGTGCTAGTTGGTGCACATATTACTTTGACATTGTGATGATTTCAAGTAATTTTAGGTATAAACTTGACCAAATTTATACATTTACATTGTTTCATGTTTTTCATATTCATATTTTGAAATCTGATAGACGATTTTTGTTGTCCGGGGCAAATTTCATGGGGGAGATTGGTGAATAATAAAAAATCTACAAAATATTGTAACAAGTCATCGCGGTATAAAGGCTTTAGTTTTGGACGACATGGCTAGCCTTAAATTAACATGAATAGAGACAAGACAAACAGCACAATACAACAAATAAAATAAATGTGACATGGACACCAAGGATGGAGTACTTTTTCCGTTCCCATTCTCTTCTTGATTTCTCCTTCTTTCGTCAATCCAATACTTAACAATATAATCATTCATTCATTTATCTGGAGTTGTCTGTTTGATCGCATGTACGTCCTCACTGCACAAGCCTCGGTCCAACATTCAATCCTTCAGATCGAGCACTGGAACACATGTGCAAGACTATTTGGAAAAAACGCACAGTTGTGCTTGGATCCCTAGGTACATGTACTCTGGAAGCTTGAGGTCTAAATATAGTGCGCTGACAGCGACTTCACCCCAAACTTTGGGTGAACTCCAGCCACCGAAATCACTACGAAAACATGCCACTAAGCAGTAGTGCTCGCTACAAACCCTTCAAAGGGTCTCAAAACAATGAAATCTGACACATTTAAAGGGGGAGCAACAATCAGAATGCTCACCCAGTGTACAAGTCTCATGCTAGTTTCAGCACAATGCAAAAAAATGTAGTAAAATCTGCATGGCAAAACCTCAGGAAATCTTCATTTGAAAAAGTTAACTGAAGGTCACAGGTGATTAAAAAACTCGAACAGAATCCTCAGTCAAAATGAGCATAAACATAGGGCCCAATTTCTGATCTAAAGACCTGCATATTTTTGTGACGGTATCCTGATGTCATGAAATACTGATTTATTTATAAGCAATTTGATGTCAAAATGGCAAAATGCTTTCAAGTACAATTCATGAACACAGTGACATACTGTGATGATTTGTTACAGACTGGTAATACCAAAAGAAACAGTTTTGATCCCTGAGCACAAAGTAATTTGGGCTTCACTTTAGTTCTTGGTTACCAATGATAAATAAATATAATATCATTATGGAGGCAGTTTATCACAGCTAAACAAATAACACAAATGCTAAGAAACTGGAATGCCAATTGAGACAAAAGGTATTGGATTGGATTGGATTTTATCAGACATGATGACGTCATTACCTTACTTCGATGCCAAGGAAACTTCATACTCTTTAACTTAAAAAGCACAAGTGAGACTTTTCAAAATTGAGCATACAGTCATTGGACAATAGCAAATTACTTATTAAATTTTCAAATTAATGACGTCATCAGACCAGAAGTCATTAAAGGGAGAAGTTGAAGATGATTTATACAATGTATACTCAATTTGGGTCAGTCCCATCACCCATGACAAAAGCTCCATAGGAAGTTGTTGTTCTACATTGGACATTGAAGATATTTTCCTTTATACAGCACCTTGTAAAGCCAGAAGCTGCAGGAATTATATTATTGGAACCACATATACAAGACGTTTTCCTCATAAAATGTTCTCTATATTTAATCACCTTCATTTCAAACACCAGATATTTTCATCCTGGATAATAAAACCATCTCCTCTGGTGTCCAGATCAGACCCTCAAGTGGTATCCTAATCCTGACAACCCAAAGTACCATTGACCCAGTGAACTTCAAGTTATATGTGACACAAAATAAGATTAGAGCACCTTCAGTATGGTTGCATCATACAAGGGGGTATCCAGAATACAGTTTTTTTTGGGCCCAAAAAACTTTGGTCCCCCAAATAGTGGGTCCAAAAAATGTGGCATTTTAGGTCGTTAGAGATCTCTTTAGAATGGAATGGTGGCTTCATATACAATGTACTGAGGCCTTGTTTCTTCCATCTTTTTTCCCTTTAATCGTGATTTAAGGGAATGTACATAATTTGCTTTTGCCGCATTTTTCAGAAATAAGTGGATTTGGAGGATAGGTATGTTATAGCAAATATTGTTAAAATGACTTGTTTTGGGCTTGTAGATGCTGGGAACAAAAAACACAGAAAACCAATCATGTTCTTGTAGTCTGGTTCCCTGACCCCACTTAAGATGAAACGGAGCAATTTATAGACTTTGGGGAATTGTAAAGTTAGGGAATCAGTCTAGCAGGCTTGTACCCCTTCACAGGTGTGGGATCAATTACAAAGAAAATGCAGAATAACTAAATATGAAAAAGTAGGAGCTGTTTTTAAGAAAAAGCCAGTTTTCTCCAATGCTGGTCCGCCGACTAAATACAACTTTTCTTGAAACTGTCAGCACACCAGAAGCCACGATTTTACAGGGTGCTTTAGACTGTCATTCCCTAACAATCCAGTAAGGTATTTCGTGATAATTTGATCATTTCGTTTTGTAATGTTTGCAAATGTTGTATCTTTCCTTCAACAGAAAAAAAGGATCCGCGCCGAGAAAAATTGGAAAACCTTGGTTACTGGTTTGTTGATAAGAGAGCGACTAAATGATCGTTTCCAAAGAACTCTATCTCCAACTGCTGGAAGTGAGGATGATATTGACTCGTGGCCACTTAACAAGCTCAACCAGCTGAAAGATGAAGAAAAATAGACCAGGTACAACCAACAAAAGTCTCAGGCCACTGCAATTTATCACTGTTTTCCTCTTGATCATTGTGTATTGCATTAGTATAAAATACTGTTTGCTTGGGAGCTCAAGAAAATATGCTGGTGTATATTTATTTAAGTTTAGGTGTGATGCACACTTGAAAAATAACGATTAAAGAAAACAATGTTGTCTCATGTAAAGTACAATTATCAGGGATTATTTCATTAAAAGCTTTATAAATCCACTGATGTGATTTGCTGAAAGTGTTTTGAGGTCAACTACGTGACACTGCATTCAACTTTTTTAATAGCATAAACAAGTCAATTTCAACTTTTTTTAACAGCAGAAACAATGTGACTTGCTTAACTTGCTTATGCTATTTAATGTGGAGCATTAATGCTTCAAAGGAATCTTTTATAAGCAAAACATATTTAGATCAACAGAGAAAAGGCACTAAAATTATGTATCCCCCTGTTAATTAGCTAATATGACCAATCTAAGTGAAAAAGTTATATCACTCTTTGATCAGCAGGATCAGCTCCAAGTGGGATGTTCCTATCCATCCAAGAGGCTGTGTGTGTGTTACTTCTTCATTGTCAGGCTTGGAATAAGCTGATTTACTGCAACATTAGCTATCTGACCAATCCTGCACATTGGGAAATGGGACCTGCCACTCATTCACAGGCACAGAGGTTACCTGGGACCACCTCTACAACCACACCTCCAACACCAAACTCTTCATTTAGTGGCAAACACTAAGACAAAACTAGGACAAAAACATTGGACACAAATATTAAATGTTTTTCATCTAAGCATGTAAATTTATTCGACCCCACTCGCCAGCCAACCACAGTTGATATGACGTCATTTCATTCTGAAATCTGGACTCGGTAAGCTGTTGATTGTATTTGTAACGCAACAACGGGCATAGAGATCCACCCTAACAGAACTCAACCCATCAAATTCCAATGGCATATTGTGTTGGAATCTGTTAGGATGGGTACAGTACCCCTGAACTGACAGTATTTTACATTGGGTTGGCACACCTCCAGAATCAAAGTCAGAAATATGTGTGTACAGTTTCCCATATGGTGTTGGAATTTGCCAGGATGAGTATGGTTCCTAGGAAATCATGCTAGGGAGTTAGGGTTAATAAAACCAAACATTGGCTTTCAACATGGGTTACCGAAGACTGAACATAAAAAGTGCCTGCTGCATGGTCAGAATACCGAGGTCAAGATGCAGTCTAGTTGCATAATTAATCGCCGAATCTGCTCGCATATCATAGACTACTACAGAAACGGGTACACATCCAAATAATGAGTGGGGTTGACCAAAAAGTGGATTAGCCAACTAACAATGAAACTAGGGACAAAGCAAAATACTACAAATAAGTGCATGTTGTTATCTGATTAACTCTACATTTCTCCCCTGCAAAATGAATCAACATAAGTTCTTTTCACAAGACCTCCAGTCCAGTTCCATTAAATAGTTCTCCGTAGGGTTCATTCAAAGAGCTTCATGCTCACTTGTCTAGCTAGTCTCACTGTTGTACCAATTAGAGATGGAGTCTAATGGGGTTGCAAATTCTACCGATTCTCTGCGGCTTCCAGGGTTGAATCACTGATTTAAATCAAGATTTAAATCAAAAGATTTTTTTTAATTACTGAATCATTTTTTTTTCAAAAATCTGTTGGCAAAATAAATTGATTGAGGGTCATTTTAATTATTTGAATCAACTGATTCCACTTAAAGGGAATATACAACATTTGCAAACATCGAAAAAAAAAACTACCAAGTTTTTGCGAAATACCTTAATAGGATGTTGGTAAATGACAGCCTGAAGCATCCTGTAAAATTATGGCACCTGGTATACTGTCATTTTCAAGAAAAGTGGTATGTTTGTATCAATTTCCAACGCTGATCGGCCGATCAGCGTTGGAAACAACTGGCTTTTTTTCAAATACTGGCCCCAATTGACCATTGCACTTGTTTGCAATCGATTACAAACCTATGAACGGGTACGAGCCAGCTAGACTGGTTCCCTGACCTTACAATTCCCCAATGTATGTAAACTGCTCTGTTTCTTCTTATATGGAGTCAGGGAACCAGACTACAGGAAAATGATCGTTTTTCTTGGTTTTTATAGCATTTTCGAACCCAAAACCTCCAAAAAGTCAGTGCAACTATATTTGCTTTATATTTCCAACCCCCCAATTCCATCCAATTCTGAAAATTACGGCAAAAGCAAATGATGTATATTCCCTTTAATTGCAAAGTGTAAGATGTTGTTAACACATTCAAACACCCCTACTTCATTAGCATGGACTCAACTTAGGTTTTGCATATTTACGCAAAATCATTGTTTTGATCAAAGTCAAGATCTGAGTTGAGACGTTTTTTTTAAATTTTGAATTTTAAAAACAGCACGCTCACTTTTTCTTTAATCATTGCTTGATCTGTTTACAGTAATATTGTGACTCAACTGTGCTGGTTGAGGCTTTCCTGAACCATCAAAGAAAGGTGTATTAAAGTCCCAGTTGATAGTCTTATTCCTATAGTTACGTTTCTCCATAAAAATTTAGATTGAGATTTATTTAACACCTTTTAAAGGTGAAGGCCCGATTTCTGTTCTCCACCTTGTATGAAGGACCATCAATCAAACAGTATGCGTTACACAAGGATCAGTGCTGCCGGTTTTGAAATTAGAAGCATTTTTATGATATCAACATGCCCGTGGAGAACTGTACTTATATTTTTTGTATACCATGTACACGTACCACGGTATCTCAGCTGTATCAATCAAGCAATGCACCTTTAAAGTGTCTTCAGTAATAATGTACCATGGAACCAATGATGTACGTGTAGTTTACATGAATAAAAAAATGAGGTGATTTTTTTTTAATCACTGATTTAATACAATTTTCAAAAGCATATATCAGTTTATTGAGTTTTGTGGATGATTGGTATTATAGGAACTTGTTAACTATAGTGATGGGTGTAAGAGTGCATTGGGGAGATTAAGACCCATTCTTTTAGACATATTAACTGGAAAGTAAAAAAAAAAATGTAAAAATCTGATTTCAATAAAAAAATCTAATTTAAATCAATTAATACCCAGATGTGACACCGGGGTACCCCCCCCAATCTTCCTATACCCTATACACACATTAAGACTATTGCTACCCAACACGTCCCCCTAGATATCTCAAAATAATTCCAGAGATTCTGGTAACACAATGACCAACACAAGGGGGGGGGGGGGCTCCCTTGTCACATGTGGCGCTGTGCATATGTTTGGTATAGTGAAAGCTTGATGAAGTGATGGTCCATATAATGATCACATCGCAAGTTCGCTCGTACCCACCGCCCTGCAAACAGGACGCTGGGATGCACTGATGCAACCTCATCCCCAGTGCTCACTTTATTTCCAACGTTGTTTTAGAGAGCAGGTAGTGGTGGGCGCGTACTGCTCGACACCCTGGGGACGAGGTTGGGGTACGAGCGAATTTGCAAGTGTGACTCGGGCAAACTGCGTTTGAACAGGTGATTGACCGCACCAATGTGAGCATCCACGCACTATATATGGTTGTGGTGGCTCCAAGAGACTGGCATAACCAACCATTCTTGGAAGGTGGTTCAGCTGATGTGGTCTGTCATTCTTTGTGGCTTTCTCATGGCATTAGATGGGGGTCTCCGTAACATCCAGTGCAATCAAGCTAAATGAGTCGTTTGTCGGGAATTCTTATTTGGAGATACAGGCCAAAATAGGGCCACTTCATCACATCACTTCATTGCATCTCTTGGTGTTCCAACTCTCATAATTTTCTAACTAAGGATGGTATCAGCATGCGGTTTTGACAGCAGTTATGCTGAGATTGTGCTCTTTTCAAATCTGTAATAAAAATTTTTTTTGACCACGGTCGACAAACGACTCATGCAGCTTGATTGCATCACCAATGTCGGTACTAGATCCATCTTTACACGACTGACTATCAGTTAATACAGGCTCAACTTCCTTGTCGGAGTACGTACATTCGCAAGTTGATCTCCTCGTAGGATGACTAGAACCCACCGTCACTGGTATATTTGTGAATCTTTGGCATGTCCCCAGCAGGAAAAAATATGTTTCAAAAATGAACTCGCTCATAACTCAGACCAGGGAGGGCTACCACTGACCAAATCTTTACTCTAAGACAAATGGCGGAGAAATATCTGGAAAAAGACAAGAGTCTCTATTTTTATTAGGCCAAAAAAAAAAGGTCTCCGGTTTCTGGTATGGAGCTTGCCCAAAATGTGTTGCGGCGACGCGGCTTTTTTTTTTTTTTACCTGACTTTTTTGCTTCAAATGTCGGCTGATGACTGCAAATGGTGCCCTACTAAACTTAGTGAAAATATATGGGAGTCCAGAGAGGCCACATAAAGCTTATTCTCGATCATAACCCCATCTAAAAACACGTTAAAATTTAGCCCGACTGCGTCTGGCCGAACAGTACTATCGCAAGCTCAGCTTGCGATAGTACTGTACGGCCAGACGGAGTCGGGCTAGTAAAATTGTGCAGCAGCAGGATTCCAGTCAAACTAGTGAGTTTGGCGGTTTTGAGACATCATCTTTCATTGAAAAAATTTTTTTTTTCATTTTGCCGACGCGCATGGCTACGGCGACGCGCGCGCATACCAGAAACCGGAGACTTTTTTTTTTGGCCTTACTGCTACATCGACTTCCAGTTCCAGAAAGCATTTGGTAGAGGGGCCTGTGGAGGGGGATGGCCTTCTTTTGATATCCAAGCAGGCTGATAAGACTGTTGCAGGCACTCTACGAGCAATCCCAGAGTGCAGTCAGAGTAAATGGAGAGCTCACAGAGTGGTTCAAAACAACTGTTGGAGTCAGACAGGGATGTGTCATCTTCAACATCCTTCTGGAGCTAGTTATGCTCATGGTCTTGGATGGTACCAAAATATGGGTCACCCTACAAGGCACCTGTATAAACAACCTACGATTCGCAGATGACATCGTCTTAACAGCAGTTAGATGGAGTTTACAAGTCCAGAAGTGACTATGGTCTTAAGTTAAACATCATCCAAACTGAGTTCAAATCATAAGCAAAAGAAAGTGCAACATCACAATAATAACTAGAGCAGATGGGAAATTGTGTGTATCTGGGGATCGAGCACAATAGCAGACACAAGCTCATATGACTTAAAACACGAATCAGGAATGTTGGGGGGGGGGGGAGGGGGCAATCTTTCGAAAGCTAAATAACATTTGCATATCCCAAATCATCAGCAACCACACCAAGATGCAGCTGTATCAAATTCTGATTTTGTAAATACTCCTGTTTTGTGCCGAGACTTGGATAGTAAAGAAAGACGATGAAAACAGGCTCCATGTTTTTGAGATGTCTTGCCTTCGTCTATCGCATAGTTATAGTGGGATAATAAGCCGATTGGACAAGATCTATTTAACACACACATCAAAGAATCACTCAACCTGGACCTACTAGACACAGACAATAAAAAGATTGAAGTGTGTACTTTGGCAACGTAAAAAATGCAATCCACTATATCTAAAAAGAAGGCAATGTCAAAGGAGAAAGACCCAATGGCCGTCCACCAAATGATGGCTTCACTGCATCTCACAGGACTGCAAGTCAAGATCAATTCCAAGGCTAACAGATGCAGCAAGGCTGGCAACAGAGGCGTAGCGAAGTCTTTTTTTGGGGGGGGGGGGTAAAAAGTTCGCGAAAGGGGCACTCGCACATCTGTGTTGAAATGTGAGCAGGAACATTTCTTCGGACACTTGGCCTCTGTCACATTCTCAACCTCAATTGTTAAAGCATCAGAGCAAAGACAGCAAGTTTTCAGGCACTCATATACACCAGAAAAAAATCCAGATGTGCTAGTAGGCAACGAATTTTGGTTAAAACAAGGTTAGCTGCAGGTGAATTTTTCGCTGCATTCTACCATGATTTTAGGGGAAAAGGAGAAGGGGACTCTCGTGCATGGTGGCGTTTTCATCGTAAAAAGACCTTGATGCTAA